TAATCCTAAAATAGCCTGGGGACTATTTCTGATTATGTTTGACCTTTTGGGGGCATTTTTGGTGTATGTTTTATGTTTCATCGGAAATCCCCCTGTAGGGGGACACGCCCGACTTAAATGTAGGTTAGTTCATGAAGGCCGCGAGGTCGCGCCAGGCGTCGTTGCCAGCTGGCCTCTTCGCCTCGGTCGCGCCCGTGTAAGTCGTGGCCCCGTGCCGTGGTGCGGCGGCGGCCCGTGGCCTCCACGACGCGGTGGGAGCCGCCCCCCGAGGATGGCGAGCACGAAATCTCGGGGGGCGATCTTGACTACCTACCAGACCACCCCAACCCAACCCGAAAATCCCGAATTTGACCCGAATTTCGGGTTGGGGGCGGTGCGGGTTCCATGTGTTTTTGTCCACGTTTTCCGACCCCCCCCCCCACCGGAAATGGAGGGCAAATTGAGGCCTTCGGGTTGGGTTGGGGTGGTTTGGTAGATGGTGAGATCTGCTGGGCAAACCGACGACGCAGTACCTCCTGGAACTCCGCCGCCCTGGGCGCGCGAGGACGACGAGCGAGGCCGTTGGCGCAAACATCGCGCTGGCGCCATGGTGGCGCCGGCGCGGGAGAAAGCCACGACCAAGTCGCGCGCGCCTCCTGGTCCACGAAGTGGCAGAACGGCCGTTCGACCACGACGGATGACCTTCGATTTCGGGCGGTCGGCGAAGTGCTGCATGGGGAGACTTCTTGACCGCGATGCCCACCCCAGCGGTGCCCGCCGCGTGCCCCGGAGACCGCCGCGAGGCGCAGCCGGGCGGACTGGCGCCCGACGTCGCAGCTGCCCTGAGTGCAATACCGGGCGTCTCTGTCTCCATGAGCCCGCGTCGCGCGTGCGCACCAGCCGTGCGACGTGCTGGGCCTTCCTGCGGTGGCGCACGGGTGAAGGGGCCCCGGGACACACAGATAAATACACACAAATAGAGACATTCCCCACATTTTCCAATATGTTCTGGGTGTTTGTCTCCCCCCCCACTTCCCATAGTTTCCCATATTTTCTGGGGAATCGACGATGAATCGTGTCTGTGTGTTGTCTCCCCTCCAGAATGGGGTCCACAGCAGGGAGGGCCTGGCAGCTTCAAAAGCGACCACAGCGACTGCGCTCGCGCAGGGGTGGTTGGCGCCCGCTGCGCTGCCGCCCCCGGGTCCCGTAGAGCGTGCGCCGGAGGCCTCGGGGGCGACGGCGGCGACGCTGGGCGCGGTCCGGCACCCGGCGTATAGCCCGAAGCCGCAGCTGCAGCCCAGGAGGAAAATATACAGTCGGGGCGTTGACCTAAGGAACCCGAGGCCCTTTGTTTCCATAAGTTAAACCCGGGGTCCCGTATAGCATGCGCCGAGGGCCTCGGCGGCGGCGGCGACGCTGGGCGCGGCCCGGCACCCAGCGTATGGCCCGAAGCCGCGGCTACAGCCCAGAAGAAAAATATACAGTCGGGGCGTTGACCTAAGGAACCCCAAATAAGGACCGAGGCCCCTTTTTTTTCTCCATAAGTTAAACTTCGATCTCCGATCGAAAACAGAAGGAAAACCTGAGGCAAGCTGTGAAACACTTAAGGAACGCGGAGCCCCTCCCCAACCAAAAGGGTTCCTTCTTCAGGGCCTCGACTGTATGTCGGCAGAGCATCCGTCGTCATCGCAAGCCGGACCAGCACCGGGAGGCAGGTGCTGGAGCGGCATGGCAGGAAGACGCCTCGCAGGGCTACTGGAAGAGCGCTCCCGGCGTGGCGAAAAAGATGTGATCATGGCCGGAGCCGAGGCCGGAGGACCAGCGGCGAGCACTCTGGAGAGAGCGCGGCACGGAACGCCCCAGCCCCCTCCTCCTCCTCCTCCTCTTCCTCCGCCTCCTCCTCTTCCTCCCCCTCCTCCCTCTCCTCCTCCTCCTCCTCCTCCTCCTCCTCCGCCTCCTCCTCTTCCTCCCCCTCCTCCCTCTCCTCCTCCTCCTCCTCCTCCTCCTCCTCCTCCTCCTCCTTCTCCTCCTCCTCCTCCTCCTCCTCCTCCTCCTCCTCCTCCTCCTCCTCCTCGGGCGCGGCAGGGGGCGCGGTAGGGGAGCTCAGGAGGGGGCGGGGGACGCGGCCCCCCAGCCCCCTCCTGCAGCCCGTGTCCCAGCAGGCCCCGGGACGTGGCCACGTCGCTCGACGCCGCGACGGCCGGGTGCTGCTGCACCTCCTCCGCGGACTGCTGGAAGAGCTCGCGCGCGGCGCGCGCCCTGGAGGGGCCGCAGCGTCGAGGGCCGCGAGGTGGACCCACCGGCCAGGCAGAGGGGCCTGCCCAGGTGGCGCCGGGCTGGGGATCAGGCCTGGGGGCTCGGGGCCACGCGAAACATCGGAGATCCAAGCATCGCGCTCCTGGGGCGCACCATTCAGGAGGGTGCGATACAAATGGGGGGGCGGCGAGGGCTGCAGAGAAGGGGCCCTTCAGGGCGCCAGAGGGGGCCTCTGGGGCCCCGAGAAGTGCACCTTTCCCCCCCCCCCCAATTGATCGCACCCCCACCGCCTGCGAGCACACGGGCCACACCTCGTGGAGCGCCAGAGGGCCGTTGCAACCCAGCAGCAGCGCGTCGGGGGACGTGATCGCCCAGTGTGCAGGGCGCATGTTCGCCGCCGACGCCCAGCGCCGACAAAAATCGAAGGGCCAGAGCGACGCTGGGCTCCGGCGTAGAGCTCGGCAAGAGCGCCTCGACCGCACTGCCTCCGGGCAGCTGCCCAGGCTGCGCGAGATCCCTCTCGGGAGGAATGCCAAAGCACAGTTCTGGGCCTCGGAGCCGCAGACGATGCGCATGAAGAGAGGGGTCTACTCTGTAAGGACGGTTTTTTGAAGGCAGATCTGCCTTCAAAAAATGGTCTACTCTGTAAGAACGGTTTTTTGAAGGCAGATCTGCCTTCAAAAAACCATTTTTTGAAGGCAGATCTGCCTTCAAAAAACCGTTCTTTTTGAAGGCAGATCTGCCTTCAAAAAACCGTTCTTACAGAGTAGACCATTTTTTGAAGGCAGATCTGCCTTCAAAAAACCGTCCTTTTGAAGGCAGATCTGCCTTCAAAAAACCGTTCTTACGGGGGTCCGTGGGAAGGCGATCCACAGGGAGTTCACCACAAGGACGGCGAGCGACGGGGCGAGCGGGCGTGTGCCCCGTCGAGATGGAGCGCTGGCCCTCCGTGGAGATGGTGAGGCAAGGCAGGCCCTGGCGCACATGGCGAAGATCCGCATGCCAAGGCAGGATGTACTCTTATGTCGGGCGTGTCCCCCTCCAGGGGGATTCTCGACGAAAAATAAAACATACACCAAACATGCCCCAAGAAGGTCAAAAAATACTCACAATATAGTCCCCAGACTATGTTTGGACTGTTATTTGACTACTTTTGGGGTATTTTTTATTTTTCGTCGAAAATCCCCCTGTAGGGGGACAGGCCCGACTTACGCCAACATGCTTGACCAAAGCGACCGCACAATCAACTTCACCAGGAAGCGGGTGCCACCACAGATCGAAGCCCTTGGCTGGGGTGTCGACCCTGGGGTGTGGTGGGACGGGTATCAAAGACGAGAGGCAACGGGTGCGAAGAGCAGCATCGAGCTGCCTGAGGTGGCCCGTACGCAGCCCCATCAGCGCGCTGGTGTCCGTCGGAGCCCACGCCATCATGAAGTCGTTCCCCCCATGAGCTGGAGTGCGCGGGTGCCGCCCCTCTCGGGGAGGGAGGCGAACTCGCGATGCTGCTGGACGGTGGCACAGTGTTATGTTGCATCCTCGGGGGACCTTGTCTGTACCGTCGCGGCCCTGTCCGCGTCGAATCCGTGTCGAATCCATGTCGGACGCGTCGGATCCGTGTCGAATCCGTGTCGAATCTGCGTCGAATCCACGCCAAATCCGCGACGAGTCCGCATCGAGCACGCGTCGGGCCCCCCAAAAGACACAAATTTTTGGGACAGGCGAGGTCCCCCGAAGATGCAACAGAAACAGTGGTCAGCGCCGGTGTCGTCCAACAGCTGGGACCACGGAATGACCACCTCCGTGCCGTTGCATTGCGGGAGGGTCCGCAGGCTCCATATCCACCGGGGGAGCGGCGAGGGGCGCAGACGTCGCCATTGTCAGAGGGCCTCAAGCAGCTGCTCCTCGCACTTCTCTCGGGTCGGGCGAAAGGGGGGATAGCAAGGGGGGGGGTTGAGAATCAGCTCACGTAGCTGATTTTCCCGGCGCCTCCCGGCGTCGGAGGCGGCCATGTATCGAGGAATGGGCCCCTCGTTGAGGCCGAAACCAGCTGCATGCAGCAAATTTCGTAACCCCCCCCTTTCCCAATCCCTCCCTTTCGCCCGCCCCGATTCTCTGCAGCCGCCAGGGAAGCGGCAGCACCTGTCTTCGCGAGAGCTCCGTCGCCGACGGGTCCCAGTTTTGGCGCTCAGCCCTGAAGGGCACAGGGTGGCCGCCGTGTGGGCTCGGGGCCGCCGAGTGGACCGAACCCCCAGCTCACGCAGATGTGAGTGTCCCACGGATTGCAACATGGCCCCGACCACCAGTTTGCCCTGATTCTTGGTCGCTGCTGGCGCTGCCCGCGTGGGCCCCCAGGAGGCTAGACCCGCCCAAACCCCCTCGTGCACGACCCGTGCACGACAGCGCGTGGCGAGGAGGGAAGGGGGGGGGGACAGGGGGAGGGGCAGTAAGCGGAGAGCGGATGGGACGGCGAGGGAGCGAGGGGAAAGGGCAGGGCATGGCAGGCCTCTCCTCTTCTCCTTTCCCCCTTTTTTCCTTCCGCTCCCTCCCTCCCTGGCCTCCCTGGCCTCCCTGAGACCCCCTCCCGCCTCCGCCCTCTCGTCAGTTCCTCTCCCCCCAGAGCCCTTCCTCCACCACCTGTCACATCCACATCTCCTACCCCCGACCTTTCCCCCATCTTCCCTCTCCCGCCCCCTCCCATGTCTCCTCCTCCCACCCTCCCGCCCTTCCAGCCTTCCTCCTCTCCTGCCCTCAGTCGTCGCGGTTACCGCTCACGTAGGCGTGCTCCTCGGGCACGACGAGGTCACAAGTGCTTTTCCGGCCAATGGTCAGAGTGCCGGCAACTGGCAGCGCCTGCTTGGCGATTCCGTCCTTCGGGGGATCGGGCAGGAAGGAAGATGCGGACAAAGGGGGAGGCGGAAGAATGGGAGAGAAGCGGGGAGGAGGAGGAGGAGGAGGAGGAGGAGGAGGAGGAGGAGGAGGAGGAGGAGGAGGAGGGTCCCTAGCCAGCTTAGCTCAAGCCATTTTGGCTCAAGCAAAACATTCATCGAGCCAGCTGGGCAGTGCAGCAATTTCTTCGCACAACTCCAGACGGTCGCCTGACCTGAAGTTGTGCCGCTTTCTTTTGTCAAGATTCAGCGCGCTAGTCAGACAGTCCCCAGTTGCCGCCATGGGAGCGCCGCGGCAGCGAGGCAAGAATCACTGGGCATGTCCTTATGGACGCTGTGGTCCCTTTCGCAATGCATACTGCCGCTGCGGTCAGCATCGCAGTATCGGCGTGACGCAGGCGGTTGCCAGATCCCTCGGGCTCACCCCGCCAGATCGCACGCAACACGAGTCGAGAGGCGTGGGCACGGCGCCGTGGGCCAAGAGGCCTCCGCCTCGCCCGCGCAGCCAGCGTCGCGGAAGGAGACAGCCACTGGACCATGGCAAAGACCTGCGCAGCATGGATCGTGCCGTCATCCCGCGCGCGCTCGCCCAGCTTCCCGCCATCACGAGCGAGGAGGCCGAGGCGCACGAGGAGTGGCGCGAGCCGCCGTCGGCCGACGAACATGCAGCGCAAGCCTCCTTCCGCAGGAATGTGAACAAACGCATAGACACCCATGCAATGGTGGTCGATGCAGCAGGCCGTGCAGGAGAGGGTCATGCACCGATGAGGTACGCTGCCGTACTCATTTTGAGCTTGACCAGGCTCAAGCCAGTCCGGCAGCAGCACCAGGACGCCAGGAACCATTGGAATGCCCTCGAGGGTAAGTTGAAGCGCGTTCAGACCAAGCAGAAGGAGCTTCAGACGCAGGAGGCAAATCTCGAGGACGAAACGGAGGTAGTCGGCAACAGCATCGAGAGCCTCGAGAAAAACTTAGAGGACGAGAGATGCCAGGACGTAGAAACGACCGTGCGGGGAGTGCGCCGCCTGCGCCACCGCCGCCGCCGCAGCCCGTGCAGGCAGCAACGCACGAGCGCAGGGCGGCGGAGGCAGAGGTGCAGCGGGGCCCGCGCAGGCCAACCCCTTCGGTCAAGAGCGCCGCGGTCCGCAGGTCTGCGGGCATTCCTCTGCATCTGGGCCATCTCCAGTCGCGCAGCCGCCGACGCCGCCACCAGCCTCGCCATCGCTCGGACGTCCATTCCTCGTTTTTTTTTGTTGTTGGTTTCGTGCGTGTTTTTTTTTTCGCCAAATGATCAAGGATGGTCCTCGATGGCCGTCGCCGAGAAAAAAACATGCACACGTCCGAGCGATGCCAAGCAGCTGCGGCTCCGCCGCCGACGGCCCAGCCGACGAAGGACCACGTGCCCACGAGCACCGCGAAGGCACCCGTCGATCCGCCGGCCCGCACGGCGAACTGCACGAGAGGCCTAGCTTTTCGGGCCGTGGGCAGGGCGGCTCGACAGCACGGTGCCAGCATCCGACGCCGCCGATGGCACCAGCGCAGGCATCGCAGCAGCCCCGGCCCACGGCGATGCAGACGTCACCGATCGCCACTGCCACTCCGACGCCACCGCCAGCGCAGGCATCTCGGCCAGCGGCGGGGGTTCGTCCAGCTCCGCGGATGCGGTGCCGCCTATGTCCGTGCCAGCCTCACAAGACGCGTGGAGTCCGACACCAGGGCCCACTCAAATGTGGGGGTTGTCTCAGGGCAGCGCTGGCGCGGCTAGTTCGGCGGCGCCAGCAGCACAGCGACAACGTCGAAGGAGGAGTTGCCGTGCGCCGAAGTGCGGACACCGACTCACGTTGTGACACCGCAGGAGGTCGAGCAGGTCGCCTACATGCGCAGCCGACCCATGCCGCGTCGCAGGAGGCCGAGCAGGTGCAGCCCATCATGTTGGCGTCCAAGACCGAGCCACGCACTCACTGCAAGAAGGGCGAATGGGTACTTCGCAAGCCTCACAAGCCGTCGAGGGCCTACCAGACGCCGCCGCGGAAGCAGTGGCGCCGAGACGACGAGAAGCGGCCGGACGATGGGCTCGGCGACGAGGGGACCCCCGTCGCAGTCCAGGTGGTGAGCTGAGCCCCCTTGTCACGCCAGCGTGTGACCCGTGGCAGTATAGGAGTATAGACACACTACGTTTTGACCCCAGTCAGCCTGGCTTGTCCTGGTCTTTCTCTGACGGGCCCTGTCAGCCTGCTGATAGGGGATCATGAGGCCCGAAACCTTTCCTGGGGCCTACCCTGGGGCCAAGGAAACAGCTCGATATCGCCGCTAGGTAGCCCTGGCAAAGGCCCATGCCGCGATAACTCCCAGTTTCGATCTTCGGATAACGAACTCGCGCAAGAGCCCTCGGGGCTTGCGTCTTCCGCGCCAGCGACGTTGCCCTGCCAGACAGCGAGGTAGCGTGGACACACCGCCTTGCACTGGCCGCCTGAATGCCCCGCCCCAGACTCCGTCGCAGCCAACCTCGGCGACAAGATCTGCATCGCGCCAGGCGCGTCGGGTGAGGCAGATGTTCCTTCAGATTTGTTTCTCACGATTCGTACCCAGAGATCCGATGTCGTGATTTTTTTAATGCGGGGTCCCTGGAAGTCTCGACCCACTCCCCAGGACCCGTTTCTCATCCTGAGTCGTTCTTTGACGGTCCCGGGGCCCGGCAAGGGCCCCTCGAGGCCGAAAAATGCGAAAAACCTGCGTCTTGATTTTTTCAATACGTTGGATCTCTGGATGTGCTAGCGTTTTCTTGTGCGCAACAAGCGTTCTCGGGCGAGGGGCGGCAGGGGTGCTCGCCCCTCGTGCCCGAGGTCGAGGCTGGATCGGCAGGTCCCGCCCCTGCTTCTCCTGGACCTCCACCTCGCCCCGACAGCGAGGACCTCGCCATCGCTCGGACGTCCATTCACTGTGTTTTTTTGGTTTCGTGCGTGGTTTTCGCCAAGTGAACAAGGATGGTCCACGATGGTCCTCGCCGAGGGAAAAATGCACACGTCCGAGCGATGCCAAGGGACGGCTTGTCCACGACGAGTCTGCCACAGTTCTCGGTCGTCGCAGACCCCCCCGTGGGCGACGGCGACGGCGGGGACTCCTACGTTGGAGATCGGGGGCCATGCAATGATACCCATGGCGTTCTCGACAACCTGCGTAGCGTTGCCACCAACCAGCCTGACATCTGCCGCATCCTTCGTGACGTTGCGCGCCGCGCGTGGCAGGATGCCACAGCTGCGGTGCCGAGGGGGCCTCGCATTTCGTGCCTCGAGGAGCTGTTGCATCCCAAAGCCAGCGACGCCGTCCGGCCTGAATGTTCAGGGTCATATGCCAGCTCTGGGGGCATCCAGCCGGCATGGTTGGACTTGATCACGACCATGCTTCTATCACGCACGTAAAGTTGTGTGGTATAGTATGGGCGCTGGCGCGGTTCGTTGTTCGCTCGCTATGCGACGGCGCTTTTGCACGCCACAAGCTCGAACTTTTTGCTGAGTTGAAAGATTTTTGTATTTTTTATGCTAGCGTTTCCGGGGGGGTCCAGAAATAGCCTTGTATTTAACTGTGGGGTCCCCGACCCCCGAAGCATATACAGAAAAAGCCCGAGTTGGAAAGTCACTTGGGGGTTCCCTGGGAAGTTTTCTGAAATAGTCTTTCCCCACTCAGTGCTTGCACTGAAGGGGTCCTAGCAGAAGTTTCCCAATCAGTGCTTGCACTGAAGGGGTCCAAGCGGAAGTTGAAAGATTTGGGGAAAATTTCCCGCCGATTTTGGTAGCAGGCTGGGTTCCCGGGTTCCCGGTTCAGGGTTCCTGGGTTCCCAATTATTGGTTCTGGGCCGATTTCATTGGTTCTGGGTTCTCGGGCTCCCAGGTTCCTGGTCGATCTCCTCACCGAAAACCATCCACTGATTTAGATTTTTCTCTGGTGTGATGAAAAATTTGGCGAACATGTCCCGCGAATTTTGGTAACAGGCTGGGTTCCCGGGTCCCCGGTTCCCGGTTCCTGGGTGGGTTCTGGGTTCCTGGGCTCCCGGGTTCCCGGTCGATCTCCTCAGCGAAAACCATCCACTGATTGGGGTTTTCTCTGGTGTAATATGCTTTTAATTGCAGGGCCCCAGAACCCCCGATGTGTTATTCTTTTTTTTGGGGGGGAAACCGAGTTGGACAGGTTTTCGGGGGCCCCCCCCGGGAAAACCTTTGAAACACTGCAGAAAAACTTCCGAACAACCCCCGAATTGGGAGGTTCCCCGAAGGGTTTTCTGAAATCGTGTTGTTTTTACTTCTTGGGCCCCAGAACTTTAGAATTACTCCAATAAAAAAAGAAAGACAAAAAACACGGGTTGCGGGGAATTTCGGGGTTCCCCCCCCCTGGGAAAAAATATAATAAAAAAAAACCGTTGAAAAAAAACCTCCAAGGAGTTGGGAGGGTTTTCAATGGTTTCCGGGGGGGTCTGAACTACTATTGCTTGTAAGTGTGGGGCCCCAGAACCTAAACAAAAAAACACAACAAAAAAACCCGAGTTCGAACGTTTTTCGGGGTTCCCCCCCCCGGGAAAAACACAGAAAAACACCAGAAACGCTCCCTGATTTTGTTCGATGGTTCTCACCCCCGGAAAACGACCGAAAATCGCAGAACAAAAAAACTCGAGTAAAGATGTTTTTCGGGGGGGTCCGGGGGGGGAGGAGTTCTGAAATAGTATTGTTTTTAATGGTGGGGCCCACGACCCCCCCCCGAAAAACCGAAACACTCCCGAGTGTGGGCGGGGGGGGCGGCGGTCCCCCCCCCAGGAAAACAAACAAAAAACCCACGGAACACCAAAAAAGACCTCCGACACACCTCAGGATTGTTTTTTTCCTACTTTTTTCTCGGGGGGGTCCAGGGGGGGGTTCTGATATAGTACTGTTTTTACTTGATGGGCTCCAGAACCTCGAAAAAACACAGAAAACCAGAGTTGAGAGGTTTTCC